CGTATAGTCGTAAAATATCATAAAGTTTTTAAAATGTTTTTACCTTACAGCTGAATCATCCAGCGGTGTCAACTACCAGCGTGCATAAACTCTGCCAACCTTAGAACCTCTATGCGACTTGCCATCGTGTGCACTTACCAGCGCCATGAACGCAGTCGACAATTTTCCGCTATCAATCTGATTCACATCGTATCTATGCAGTCTGAAGATCCAAAACCGGTTCATAGATTTACTGTGCACTTATCACATCTGTCACGTGAGCGAATTCGAACTAGGCGCACTTAAGAGTGATACTTCCTTCCTCCGCCCACTCATTCCGCTCCATCCTTTTGTTGCCGTCGCTGCTGCTTTGACTTCCTGCCCTCATTCAACCTCTGCTTCGTTTACACGCGCACCTCTTGACGTAAAGCGAGTTGCAGAGGGCCTTACGACTGGATTCAGTCTCGAACCGCTCAGCAGATGCAGGTGATTCTTCGTCGGTTGACTAGGTTTGTAACTCTCTCTCTTTCTCTCTCTCTCTCTCGCAGAGGTGTTGTTGGTAAAATACAGCTGTTCCTTCGGCACATTCATTGCTGCAGCGGTTCTTACGAAAAACAGCAGATATACAGCCTGAAAACCCATTTGGTAATTTCGTGTGGTCTCACCTCCTCGATTCAGCGCCAACTGACTCATTGTCCAAAATAACAGTGAGTCTTTATTGGAATACTGTGGAATATTTCATTTATATCATGCGGTCAACTAAACCTCAACTACTACGTACGAATATTAACGAACCAGCCATCGCCTAAAGCCAAACGAAACTGGTAGCATGGCAAGCATACATTTGCATTTGATCACTGCAGAATTATCTTTTCCCTCAGGCACTGCTGCGCTGTTCTGACCAAATCATCTCCATCCAAGGACACCACGATTCAAGTCAGTTTTGCATACGATCAATATAAATGACTTACTTTCATCGTCTTTACTTGACCTTCACTTTAACGTAATTTAGACGGTTTTCCTGAAGCTGCTAACCCTGTGTCGACCACCACTTTTTTAAGCATATTGTCTACATGATAAATTTATGCATTACAAATTTATGCTGATCGAGCAATCGTTACACTGACGTACTAGTTACGAGTGAATACTATGTATGTACATAATCTGGCCGTTACCGGTCCCCAGCCCGAAGGAAAAAGGAGGAGTGTGGGAGACTCGGTAAAACATGACCGCTCACTCTACAGGGTACTGTCGTAATCGAACATTATACCGGTTAGGGCATCACCCCGGTTACCAATGGCTGCTCATGCTCTTTGGGGACTGAGACGAGCTATGAAAAGCCGGCGATTAGAAATTGTTCTTCGCCTACTGGTAGCCAGGGACGTAACAGAACGACAACGACTGGCGAAGATTGACAAAACAAAGACGCAGGTTCCAATCAACAAAGGAGTCGCAACACCCTCTGAATGCAGGAGGTAACAGCACGATGTTATTATAACACCTGAGCAACAGCACCACGTGAACGACAGTCAGTAGGAGCTTAATGAGAGAAATTCGAATATATCATCACGTAGACGGAAAGGGCAGGAGCTATTTGTCGAAGCCGCAAGGCACCAGCTAAATTTAATTAACTCAACGAGCGCCAAGCCTCTAGAATTCCGAATCACGGCGTGTGGAAGCTGTTTTATTCAGGTGTCGACATCACTACGTACAACGAGAACACGGTTTCTGCTCTGGTAGAACCCAACCTAGCTTGTAGAACCACTGAATAGAAGCCTGTCAAAGGAAGAGTGACAATCCTCAGACAGAAGCTAGAAAACGCTAAGCGTTGTTCTTGTTGCAAGGCTATTCCTCAAATTTGGTAGTAGAATATGAGGCTTTCTTTGAGAAAATGCAGTGTGCTCCGTTCGAAGAGCCGATTACAGAGTCCTTCATACTCATGGGAGATTTAAATGCGCATAGAGGAGCAGCGGGTACAAGC